AAGATAAGTAAATTAGCATAAAGGAGATAGAGGGTGACAAGAGCTGTTTTTTGTTGTTTTTGTTTTTAAGATAACGGTCAGGGATGGTTTCTGAGGAGATAAATGTTTGAACCATGAGCATATGAAGTTAGAGAACAGTCCAGGCAGAACTCCCTTTGAAGAATGTTCGTGATGAGTGAACAGAAGAGCAAAAGCCCTGACTATCTCCCTAAAAATGATAAATTATATTAATCATAAAAAATGTCACCAGCATTATTCTTGATTACAATGAGTATAGAAGTAAACACTTCAGTGTAGAAATGAAACAAGGATAACTGCTCTCACTCCTACTCTTCATCATTATACTGGAAACTGTAGCCAACGTAATTAGAAAACAGAGGAGAATAAAAGAAACAGAAAGACTGAAAAGGCAATATGGAAAGCAGTATGGAGATTCCTTGGAAATCTGGGAATGAAACTACCATTTGACCCAGCTGTTCCTCTCCTTGGAGTATACCCAATGACTTAAAAACAGCATACTTACAGGGACACAGCCACATCAATATTTATAGCAGCACAATTCACAATAGCTAAACTGTGGAGTCAACCTAGATGCCCTTCAGTGGATGAATGGATTAAAAAAAATGTGGTATATATACACAATGGAATTTTACTCAGCATTAAAAGAGAATAAAATCATGGCATTTACAGGTAAATGGATGGCATTGGAGAAGATAATGCTAAGTGAAATCAGCCAATCCCAAAAAACAAATCCTGAATGTTTTCTTGATGTAAGGAGGCTGCCTCATAGTGGGATAGGGAGGGAGAACATGGGAGGATTAGATATATTCTAGATAGGGAAGAGGGTTGGGAGGGAAAAGGAGGGGGCAGGGGATTAGCAAGGGTGGTGGAATGTGATGGACATCATTATCCAAAGTACATGTTTGAAGACTCGAATTGGGTGTCAACATATTTTATATATAAACAGATATGAAAATTTGTGGTATATATGTATAATAAGAATTGTAATGCAAAAAAACTAAAGTACATGTATAAAGGCATGAATTGGCATGAACATAATACAAAGATGAAAATTATACTCTATATGTGTAATGCATTCCATTGTCATGTATTTAAAAAAAATTAAATCAATAAAACAAAAAATTCATTGATAACAATAAAAAAAAGATTGAAAGGAAGAAAAATATTATGACTTATAAATGAAATTATTATCTACAAGAGAATTTACATTCTATTAGAACTAAAAAGAGTACAGGAAGGTTGACTGAGATAAAGGTCAACCTAGAAAACCAGGAGTTTTCCATATAAGCAGAAATCAACTAGAATATGTAGTAGGGGAAAAAGATACAATTCAAAAATACCATCTATAAGCTGCCATGGATTCTTTCTAAAATTTTTGAACAGGTTTACAGAGAACATTGTCAGACACTTTAAGGACTGATGAAAATGTATCCAGATTGTCAGTATACCCCTCCTGCAAGTTCAAACTGCAGCATCACTACAACTAAAAAACTGTAGGACTGAAAAATTCACTTAGAAAAGTAAAGGTCCAAGAATTATGAAGACCCTTGAAGATGGGGAAGGAGAGTTATGTCATCAAATAACTAAACCTAATAATTTAAAATGTGGCATTACTTAGGGATAGACAAGTAGACCAATAATAAAACAGAAAAGAAAGGCCCAAAACAGATTCAAGCATTTCTGGAAATTTGGCATAATAAAATAAGAAACAACCAGGTTGCCAGAGAGGAAAAATATGTATATTGCATCATACCATATACAAGAACAAATCCCAACTAGAGAAAATATCTAATTTTAAAAGCTAACTTATTTTTAGGATAACACATAGAATACCTTTGTAAATTTAGCTAGATAGGATTTCTTAAATAAAACCCTCCTAAAAAATCACATTATAAAGGAAAAAAATGATAGGTAAAATTTAGTCAAATTTTTGAATTTTAATAAAAGGTACCATTAACAGAAGTTAAATATGTATAACAAAATTAATAGCCAGGATATGTAAGGATAACAGTCAACTCCACTTAAAAACAGCCAAAGGATAGGAACCAACAATTTGTGGAGAAGAAAAACCTATATGTCCAACAAAAGATGAAAAAGTACACTTTGCTACTGGTTGAGAAGAATATGATAAATTTTAAAAAAATTGTATTCTTTTGAATTACAAATTTTTAATATATATTATATATGTGTATCATATATTAATGGACTATATCTACAGGGTAATAGAAAAAAGGAATTATCATATACTGCTGATGGAAGTACAAATGTATATAAGTACTTAGGAGAGGAATTTGGTAATATATAATAAATTGAAAACATGCATTCATAAGCCCCAGAAAATAGACTTCTAGATTTGTAACAGAAATTTTTGTGGGTTTATATTAGGAGACGTATACAAAACACTTATTACAATATCATTTGTAGAATAACTAGAAACTTTGTAATTGTCTTTTAACAAATGAATAAACTTGGAAGTCAGTGGGATACTTTTCAGTGATTGATGGTTAAAATTGATGGACTTTATGTCAATATGGATGGACCTCAAAAAGTTGAGTGAAAAAGCAATCGTAGAATCTGCACAATATAATGACATCTTAATAAACATTTTAATGTTTCACAGAACAATAATATATACTTATAGATATTTGTGTATTTAATCCAAATTTCGAAATAACAGTTGAAAAAGTTATACATAAGATTAATGATGGTTGCCTTTTGGAAGGTAGGGAGTGGTATGTGACTAGACAGAGAACCAGGAGAGGGCTGGGGCTGTGGCTCAGTGCTATTGCACTTGCCTGGATGTGTGAGGTACTGGGTTCAATTCTCAGCACGACATATAAATAAATAAAATAAAGGTCTATCAACAACTAAAAAAAAGAACCAAGGGAACTTGAACTTGACCTGTATCATTCTAATAGGTCAGTGTTAAGTATGTATTAAAAATAAGTGGCTAGCTTAAGTGATTGCCAGGGTTCTTAACCGGCTCAGAAGTACTTCCATTTTACTTTTTAATTAAATCATTTAAAAGACTATCTTTTACATATACCTTCTAGAGATTTTATTAAGTTAATATAGGCATACTCATCCTTTTTAGATAATCTCCAGAATAGTCAGTTTCTGATAAATGGGGATATATTGAGATTATGGTTTATAAAATAATCACATGGTCAGTTTCATGTTGTTTTCTTTATAAAACTTGGGATTCAGTGGGATATTTTTCAGTGATTAATGGTTAAAATTGATGGACTTTATGTTGAACATGGATGGACCTCAAAAAAGTCATTCTCAATGGCCCCAGTTCCAGTTTTCTTCATATGGGGGGACTCAATGTGTTTTTTGTCACTTATTTATTCAGCAGATTTTGTTGAATATCTAACATGTGCCAGATGATATAACAGTGAATAAAAAAAGCCTACTCTCATGGAGTTTAAATTCTAGCCAGGGAAGATAGCCATTAAATAAATAAATTTATGAAAATATAATATGCTAGTAGTTAAAAATAAAGCAGGATAAGAGAAATAGTGATTACAAGAAACAGTGTTGATTTCGACCAAGGTGTTGAGGGATGGTTAGATTCTGGGTATGTTACTTTTTAATAGCAATTCCTAATCCATAGATTACTCTGTGATCTTAAGGGACATTGTGAGAGTTATTGAAAAGAGGTAGCACACATTAGTTGCCAATGAATGATAAAACTGTACAGTGATCATAAAAGGAGATTTTAAAACCTCTAAAAATCTTTTGTAGGATTGTGGAAAGGGAATTTCATTCCTGTTTACTTAGAGGTTTCCTTTACTTTTCTTGCTCCTTTAAGTCATTGTGAATTATACAACTAAACTTAATCTCATCGTACTTTGTTGTTTGCAAAAAAAAAATGAAACTTGAGATCTGGGTACAGATTTTGATGTTAATTGCATTAATAGATCAGATATAAAATACTAACTTTTACTCTATAGCTTAACTGTATAGGTATATACAAAGACAGATCAACCCATTTTTTTTTTTTTTTACATTCATTTGGCTCTAGACCTTTTATGGAAGATAATCTATTTAATGATATTTTATCTTGCATGATTCATTTGCTTTTGCATGTTAATAGATATTGTAACAAAATCCAAATGACAGTTAATTTATACTCCCTTCATTTGTGTTATGTATTATAGTTTAATTAAACTGATGTAGTGGCTTTATTTGTATTATTTAGTTTCTAAATATAATTTTCTACCCTCCAAATATTACTGTATTAGTTCATCTTTTATTATGGCTTTTATGTCTAAGTATTCCTGTTATGGAAAAGAGAGAGATGTGTGTGTATGCGGGCGCGCATGTGCATCTGTGTATGTGTGTGCTACAGGAAAGGAAAAGAGGAAAAGAATTATTTTATGTCAGATCTTTAGAGCTATAGCATATTACATCATTATGGCTTTTTAAATTCTAAACAAATCATTGTCCGGAAAAGAAGGCAGACAGTAAAATTCATAATTTATTTTAAACTCTGTGTCCTGTTTCTCAGCATAGTAATACATCTGCACTTATATGTCATTAGAAACTTAATTGTGAGCTGGGTATGATGATATACACCTGTAGTTCCAGCACTCAGGGAAGCTGAGATGGGAGGATCACTTGAGTCCAAGAGTTCTAATTCAGCCTAAGCAACATAGGGAAACCCTGTCTTTAAAAAAGAACAACATTTAGTTTTATATTCAAAACATCTATTTTAGTGTAACAACAGTAGGTTGAGTAGAACAGTAAACAGAAATATTTTGATTGTGCTTTAAAATTTAATTTAGTACAGTGAGTGGGAAATAGATTTTTGTTGTACTTTGTGAAAGAGTATTTCAGGATAATGAGTTTCACTTACATTCACTTATATATATTTTTTTTTTCATAAAAAGGAGAGCTAATTACCACATCTGAGAGTATTTCAGGTATTTAATAAGATTTTTATTTCTACTAACCTAACTTTCTTTTTCTTTTAGCAAAACTGTACAATCTAAAGTGGACTGCATTTTGGTAAGTGAAATACCTAACTTAAAAGTTATTTTGTAGTAAGTCTTTTACAAACACTATGTAAAATATACCATTCCTAAGTAAATATTGATTCTAAATATAACACAACTTTAGTGAATAAATTTTGATGATTAATTACAACCCTGTGGGTAAATTGGTTATAAGCTGCCTAGATATTTTCCTGTCTCATCAACACTGAAATCACAATCTGAGGTAATTGCATGCATTTGAATCATCTTTGGCCTTCACTGAAATATTGTTTAAGCAAACATTTAATTAAAGTGAATATTTTTATTCTGATAATGCTGTAAGAATTCATTTAAAGTTTTTAAGATGTTTGATGGGTTTTGTTATGATAGCATATTTTTCATGTTTCAGTTACTAGCCTTTAGAAATTAAGCTACAATGATAGTTTAAATTTAGGTTGTACCTAGAGAACTCTGTAAGAATTTGCTTAAAGAAAACTTTTAGTGTTGCGTTCATTTTTGTTGCTGTAATATACTTTGTATTACAGCTTTTAATCTCTGGGTTGCAGTTTTTAGACTTCAAGTCACATTAATATTTTAATTTAGATTTTGTTTGTAGTTCCTTAGGTCTTGTCTTAAATATGTAAATGTGTGAGGGAAGAAGCGTGCAACTATTGGGACAACTGGAATAATACTGACTTCTTTGATGAAATCTCTGCAGACAGGCTGCACCATAGGCTCTAGAATATTCAATGACTCTCTCTGCTAGATTACCCGAAGTGTCAGTGTAATTATTGTTCTTCCTTGTTTGTGATTTCAGAACTTTTCTTATCCTAGTTTGGGTTTCCTTTTAAGCCAACTTGACTTGTTTGTGTTTTGTTTTGTCTTTTTAAATCATTTTTTCTCATCATTGAGTAAATAGAGGCAAAAGATTATCAAAATTATAAAATATAACATTTTAAAATATAAAATAAGAAAGGAATTTTAAACCTTTGAAGTGTTTATATTTTCATGTAAGATTTAAAATAAACGTGTTATATGTGTGTGTTTTTATATGTGTGTGTGTATATGTATATATCATGTATAACTTTACTCCATAATTTTTTAAATTAATTTATTTATTTTAATTAGGTATATATGACAGCAGAATGCATTTTGATTCATTGTACACAATTGCAGCACAACTTTTCATTTCTCTGGTTGTACACGATGTAGTGTCGCACCATATGTGCAGTCATCCTATACCTAGGGTAATGGTGTCCATCTCATTCCACCATCTTTCCTGCCTCCATGTCCCCTCTCCACCCCACCCTCCCCTTTGCCCCACCAAAGCTCCTCCATTTTTCCCATGCCTTCCCCATAACGGATCAGCATCCATTTATCAGAGAGAACATTTGGCCTTTAGTTTTTTGGAATTGGCTTACTTTGCTTAGCATGATGTTCTCCAACTCCATCCATTTACCTGCAAATGCCATAAGTTTATTCTCTTTTAATGCTGAGTAATATTCCATTGTGTATATATACCATAGTTGTTTTTTTTATCCACTCATCTATGGAAGGGCATCTAGATTACTTCCACAGTTTAGCTATTGTGAATCGGGCTGCGTTACAATAACATGCTGATTTTAAGTGTAGACCGAGGAATGGGGATAGCTGGTTCAAATGGTAGTTCCATTCCAAGTTTTCTAAGGAATCTCCATGCTGCTTTCCAGATTGGTTGCACCAATTTGCAGTCCCACCAGCAATGTGTGAGTGTGCTTTTTCCCCCACATCCTCATCAATATTTATTGTTGTCTGTATTCTTGATAACTGTCATTCTGACTGGCATGAGGTGAATGTTTAGAATAGTTTTGATTTTCATTTCTCTAATTACTAGAGAGGTTGAACATATATTTGTTAATCGAATTCTTATCTTCTTCTGAAAAATGTCTGTTCAACTCCCTAGCCCAATTATTGATTGGGTTGTTTATTTTTTTGGTGTTAAGTTTTTATATATCCTGGAGGTTTATCTGACATATGTATGGCAAAAATTTGCTCCAGAAATGTAGGCTCTCTCTCCACCTCGTTGTTTCTTTTGTAGAAAAGAAGCTTTTTAGTTTGAGTTCATCCCATTTATTAATTCTTGATTTTATTTCTTGTGCTTTAGGAGCCTTGTTAAGGAAGTCAGGGCCTAATCCGACGTGATGAAAATTTGGACCTACTTTTTCCTCTGTTAGGCACAGGATCTCTCATCTAATTTCTAGGTCCTGATCCACTTTGAATTTCTTGTTACTCCATAATTTTTTAATGCTGTCTTAGGCCTTGGACATCCAGTGATAAACAAGATAGTAATATCTCTATCCTCATGATCCTCATATTTTATTAGATGAGGTAGACATTAAATAAGTGAGCAAATAAATGTTATAACTTCAAATATTGATAAATGCCTTTACAGAATTTTTAAAAGGCAAAAGGGAGCAAGTGATGGTGGCTAGGATAAACAGAGTTGTGATCTGACATTTGAGCAGAGATCTGAATTAGAAACTAGCCTTGTTGATGATCTGCCAACAGCGCATACTAGGCAGAGGAAACAACACGAAAATTCAGAAGTTTGGGTAATTTGAAGAAGATAAGGATTTCAGTGGGCTAAAATATGTGGAGAAAAGGAAAGAATGATACCAAAGTTCAACTGGAGAGGGTTTAATAATGGTATATTTGGTCACAACAAATTGTATGGTAAGCCAAGTAGAGTGTCCTAAGCAGAAATATAAAATGATCTAATTTTTTTAAGAAATATAATTGGAAATATGGCCTGTAGGGGGAAGAAAAACCAGTTAGGCTATTGTAGACATCAAGAAGGGAATTCTCAGTTCTTACTCAGATGAAGGTAGTGAAAGATGTGAAAAAAATTTAGTGGATTCCGGGCATATTTTGGATATAAAATTCCTTGTTGGTGGATTGAATGTGAAGAAAGAAAAAAGAGGAATAAAGGGTAATTTCTTCAATCTGCTGTTCCTGTTTTTTGGTACTGGGGATTAACCACTGAGCCATGTCCCTAGCCCTTTTTATTTTTTATTTTGAGAGAGGGACCCCATAAGTTGATAAGGCTGAGGCTGGCTTCCCATGTCTCTGGGATTACAGGAGTGTCCCACCACACGTGGCTAGTATTTCTAACATGACAGATTTGCTTATTATGAATACTCTCAGTCTGTATTTATCTGTGGGTGTAATGTGCTTTCAATTTTCAAAGATAGTTTTGCTGGATATGGAATTCCTGCTTAACAGTTTTTTGTTTTTTTCTTTCATTGCTTTGAACATGTTAACTGTTTCTTCTGGACTTTGTTTTTGATACTAAATTAGCAATTAATCATATTGTTATTTTTCTGTACCTGATGAGTTATTTTTCTCCAGTTCCTATCTAGTTTTATTCTATATTCATTCTGCCACTCACTTGTTCACTTTTCTAGCTTTCAACAGTCCATGACTGTTACATGTGTGGATATTGAAAACTTTGTGTTTATCCAACGTGGGGTTTGTTGAACTCACATTTGTAGATTAGTTAGATTTGGGGGTTTCCAGCCATTTTCTCTTCAAAAAATTTTTCTGTCCTTTGGATTCTCTCCTTCTTCTACATGTTGAAATGATTGATGTTATTCTGATCTCTGGGACTTTGTTCTTTTTTCTCTAATAATCTTTCTCTGTGTTCTGGTTTCTCTGTTAAGATTCTGTTACCTGCCATCGTGCTTTCTTTTGTGGGTTTAAACACAGGCACTTCATTTTGACCGCACTACTATTCAAACCATGTGAATGAAATAAGTTCATGGGAGCATCTCCAAACAAGAAAAAAAAAACACAGGCCCTCATAGTTAGTACCTTATGTTCAGGAATTTTTAATGACTTAATCTCTCTATATATTGTTTATCTTTAGTCAGTTTCCAGACTCCAAAATTATTCTTTTTGACCATTTTGATTCATTTTCTAGTAGTTTTTGGGAGGAAAGGTTTGCCACAATTTTTACTTCACTTTTTCCAGATATTTCAACCTTCCCCTGAGGATTTTTCATACATTTTGTTCTAGGATTTATAGTTTTAGTTTTCTTTCAGATCAGTGAACCATTTTGAATTTAAGTTGATTTTTACCATATTATGAATATGTAGTTGTTTTAGTACCACTTATTTTTCAATAAGTCTACCCTTCCCTCCAAATACATTTTGTATCAAAAATCATTATAGGTGGGTCTTTTTCTAGATTCTCTTTATTCTTCCCATAAATTGTTATTCTGTTTTTATGGCGTTGTCTTATCTACTGTAGCATTATAGAAAGTCTTAATATCAGGTATATAAACAATTCAAATATTTTGGCATCGCCATACAAATTTTAGAATTACCATGTCAGTTTCTATTAAAAACAAACAACAACAACAAACAGTTCTAAGCTCTACAGGAAGTTTGATTGAGATTACAATGAATTCATAGATCAGTTTGGGGACGTTGACATCTTACTAATGAGTCTTGATCCGTGAGTTTGGCATATCTATTAGTTGGTTTTTCTATACTTAGTTGGTTTTTCTGTAATTTCTCACGGTAGCATTTTTTTTAGTTTTCTGTGTTTAGGTTTTATACATATTTTCTCACAACTTTTCATAAATAGTCAACATTTTTGAAATTTTCCATTTTATTGTGAAAGGTATTAAAAATTTTTGTTACCCAAGGTCCATCAGGACAGGGCTAAACATAAACAGATATGGTGAGAGTAGATTTTCTTGCCTTGTTCTCAATCATAGGGGGAAAAAAGTCATTCGTTCACCATTTAATATGATGTTAATCTTTTCATGATTGCTCTTTATCAGGTGGAACAAGTTCCCTCCTGTTTCTGTTTTGCTAAGTGTTTTTGTTTGATTTTTGGTTTTGAATTTTAATCATAATTGCATGTTCATGTGCAGGGGCACTGGGTTCAGTATCCCACACCATATACACAAAAACAAATACATGCTAGTTATTATCAAATGACTCTTCTAAGTTTACTGGTAGTTTAAATTTCTATGTTATAATATTTCCT